GGATCACCTGATATGATGCTGATCACCAGTAAGCAATCGGCGCCGCCCATGGACACTCGAAACACCAAGGCGTTACAAGTGCGTTACTGACCTTTTGGGAATGGGGATGATGACAGGGTATGAAAATTAAAAATATAATTAGTCCGTAAGTTAGGTAATGAAAAAATATTAGACACGTATTTTTTTATTTTGTCGTATAATAAAACAATACTTAGATAAAACGAATCAAAGTTTAGGAGTGGGGGCTAAAACGTCATTCCTTAGTATAAAATGTACTGAGAAGTGACGTCACGCGACATTTCAAATCAATATATCTTCGAAACTATTCGTTTCTGTGAGAAAATAAAAAATACGTGTCTAATTTTAAATAATCTATCAGACGGACATTAAAATAAAAATTAGTCGTCTACCCCATTAGGAATTTGGGGATGTGGAGAATTCGGGGATTCGGGAGACGGGGACAAGGGAGGGGGGTTATTGGGCCTCCGGTAACCTCACTCACTCGACGAAACACAACGCAAGTGTTGCTTCACGTCGGTTTTCTGCTCGACCGTGGTATCACTCCAGTCGAGCCGGCCCATTCGTGCCGAAGCATGGCACTCCCACACTTATTTGAAATTGACATGAAAATTTACTCCATACGATTACACTTTCAGGTCCACATGTAAAGTAACTGAAAAGATATCTACCTACATACGTTGGTTTATAAATACTTTTGCTACCTGAAAGTTGCTGCAAAATCGAGCAAAATAATGAGGGATTACCTTTTCATGAATACATATGTGCGTCGATGCCTTTTTAACCCAAAACATTCGTAATACTGAGAGATTATTTTCATACATTCAAAAATATTTTTCCGAAATAAAAATAGACTTTATGTTATTCCAAGGTGAAATAAAAAGGCTGTTTATATAGCAGATAGTGGTTGTACTCAAAGAGTACGAACATAGCTAAAATATACATACAAGCAGGATGTGTCGTCTCACCACTTTTTTTAAATTTTATGTATCCCTTAAGCTAAGATAGGTAACACTTAACGACATTCTGGTTTTCGTCAACTTATGTGTGACACATAAGTAGAAGTCAAAGGTTAGTTCAGGTGCTAACACTAAGTCATTCTTAATTAAGCGACGGTTTTTTTTTTGAGGGTAATCATCCAATGACTTTTCCCGCCCGGGAGAGGCGAGAGGGAGTGTCAGACTCTTACTGACTAAAAACCACCCCGTTCCTACTCCTGCACTTCCAGTCAGAGTCCCGGTAACTCGTTAAGTCTTCCGCGGCTTCGTATCGGCATCAACCCTGTTGGGCCCCGTCTATGGTGGTGATCTGATGGCTCCTTGAGGTGCGCGCGCCGTATGCTCGGGCCGGGTTCTGGTCGGGCGGCGAGTCACCCGTGCTCGCCGTCCGCAGGCCCGTGCTTACGGTGGCCGGAGATCGTCTCGCGATCTCGCTGCAATGAGAGCGAGCCCAGCCCTCGGTTGCGACAGTCGTTGCTACCATTCCGCCATGAGATCGCGCCGGAGCTCATCCCGCCAGTAAGCGACAGTTCGGTGTGGTTGTTGGAAATTGTCAGTCATGAATAAGAATTTAGACGAACCAAATTATCATCACTTTAAATGTAGTAGTAACTCTACAGTAATAAAGGACCACTATCACAACTAACCACAAATAGTACTCATTCTCTTTAAATAAAACTTCGCAGTATCTCAACTCAAGACTAAGCGAACAAAAACGTAAGTAACACTAACAAACTAACAATTTGTAATACAACACCGGTGCGGGCGTGCATAACGAACCCGCGCTCATTAAAAACGATAAATTACTCAAAGTAATTAATACCTGAGCTTTTAATTTGAAATCTGATAACTTTGGAGATTTACTGACTTTGTCATAAGTTGGTGTATGAGCCTGGAGAGGGATTTATTAAATGAAGGGTAGGTACTGGCTGCCAGCGGCTGGCGACTTTTGTACTTGTAGTTTAAAAAGGGCTGAGGAAAAGTTTTTAATAACGTTTTGTGTTATGTGTGTCTGTTTTTTCATTTGGAGTTAATGTGTTTTGCTTTGTGTTGATCTTTTGTACAACTGAATGTTGCTTTGATTTTATCTTTGTAAATATATTATTATTACTTTACATATGATAATATTTAGAGGTCCAAGAAGTATTTCACTCTCTATGCACAGTTATTTATTGTTCTATGAGTTATCTGAAAGATTTTTTCTCTATTACGATGTTTTAATGAGTGAAATAATATTATACTGAATTTATACGGAACGTAAATCGATTTCACGATTCATGTCACAGCTGTTTTACATCAGTGGTTCTTTTTGAATGTAAAACTCAAAGAACGCTTACCATTCTCATCCCCGATAATTCCCTACCTAAAAACCCCAAAAATTGTTTTTTTCTCTCCTATTAACTCCTCACTTTATATCAACACTTGTCTATTACCAAAATCTTCTGTCATGTTCCCCATCATAAACTACTATTAAGCCATAACGTGAGGTCTCTGGTCCCTCCTCCTCATTACCATACGCAGTGAGCGGCCATCTTGCTCAGACCTCTTTATGTCAGTATAAACTTATAAAGTATGGAGTTTAGTACCCATTGACTAAATGCGACAACACTGCTGACCATTCTTTCTATAATATTCAAGTGAATCTGTGCAGGTTATGACGCTGGACTTCTAATATATGTAATTTTATTCTGTTGTTGTGGTCAAAACCTTCAAAAAAATATATTAGCCGGTAATAATTACCACTTCGTAGCTACTCGTAGCCATTCGTAGCATATCGTAGTTTCTTGTAGCCATTCGTAGCATATCGTAGTTTCTTGTAGCCATTCGTAGCATATCGTAGTAGCTTGTAGCCATTCGTTGCTATTGTAGTAGCTTGTAGCCATTCGTAGCGTATCGTAGTAGCTTGTAGCCATTCGTTGCTTATTGTAGTAGGTTGTAGCCATGCGTAACAATTCAGTTAGTGTCTAATTTAGTTGATAATCCCACATTAGTTACTATGAAGTTTTTGTTATTAACTAATACGTATGCGTTCGGTCTTTATTTAAGATCCTTAAATATGTACGTGGTGTATAGACTCTGAATACTCACTAATGCTACCATTCAAGTCAGTTATAATTAATAGAGTCGCAGCTCAACATAAATCATCAATGATTTTCTATCATAATAATATCTAACCAACCCGTTGATTGTTTCTATACAAACTAATATCAACCTTACGTTAACCAAATTAAGATCACTATATCTAATTTAATCATTTATGAATTGTTTTAAAGTACATTCAATAATGCACTTAAAAGGCATCCATTATAAATTGATAATATAAATGAAAGCTTTGAATAATTTGGCTATAACAATAGACTATTACAATGTGGTAACAATATGGTTTCAGTCTGAAAGCCTTTATTTAATTCCAATAACTGCGCACGTTGTAATTATAAACAATTTGATTAAGTGCAGCTGTGTCTCGAATTTCAGTGAAATCATAAATGAGAAACTATTCAGGAGTACATAGACATCTTCAATACATCTGTTAAACCTAATATTCCAAAAATCATTGTCTTATCTAGTGATATAGGTTTAAAACGACGACACCACAGAATTCACTAAAACTAAAGGTCAATAAAACGGGTTATAAAATAGAATTGCGCATTTTAATCCACGAATCTTCAAACTCCAATATTAAGAGAATTCCAAAAAGAGCCTTATTTATATTTAATCGACAGTGAAATCAAACCTGAGACCCATTAATCGGTAGTCATACTTACGACAAGAGGTAAAGTCCACACTCAAGGGTCAGTCAGCACAAAAGCCAAGGTCAAGAATACCATCACCAATAACCATGGAATTTCAATCTAATCCGACTACCAATAACACAAACTTACAAACAAACAATTACTGAGTGCCAAATCTATTTGTTTTCAAACACTAAGCCACTAATGGGCACACGTTCGATACTCGGAAGAGGGAATTCTGATTCTAGCGACGTCGTACCACTAACAGTAGGGGGGAAAGGGGGAGAGCAAATAGCTTCTACAGCCCGCGACACATTTCAAGTAAAACTTGAAGAAATTCGCGGCGAGATGGAGGTGACTTGAGTGGACTTCGGTGAGCCATTTTATGTGCGCTTGCTGACGTCCTGGTGTAGAGATTTTGGAGACGAAATTTAAGTAAAGAGAGAATTTTATAATATTGTTAATGTTTTGAGGATATCAAGGTTTACTGGTAATGCGTTTATTGTTGATTAATGCTAGTGGAAGATTTGTCTGCAAAAATTTTATTTTGACAATCAATATTCTAAAGATAAGTAATCATTAATATTAAAACCAGTATTTCTCTACTCAAATATCAAATCTAGGTCTTCCAATTAGTCAAAATAAAGACATAAAACAATACAAAATATAGAACTCTAGAAGCTTACAATTAAAAAGCGAAACGACTAAAACATCAACAAAATACAATTAAAATTCAACTCTTTACAATTCAAAATAGAATCGAAAACTAAAACCCCGCATACCGAGAAGCTAATTTTGTTTTCGCAAAAATTCAAATGATATTCAACAAAGTCGTTGACTCCCTACAATGAAGGTAAGAGGGGGTAAGCAGAGGAGGTACACAAGACAAACAATGGTGCTCGTTACTGCAGATGTCATGAGTGAGTTCACGAGTATTTTCTACGCTTCCAATGGAAATCAGGTAAATCCTGAAATCCTGTAGTGTTTTTGCAATCGTCGCTGTAATGAACTAGGGTTCTGCTGGACACGGCTCCCTTGTGATCCCAAACTAATAATTTATTAGTTTAGGACTTTATTTATTAGTAATAAATAAAGTTAAAAATAACATAAGTCAAAATTTGCGTCCGTTACATATAAACAAATAGAAGAAGACTTTTTGAAGTCGAAGCATTTTTTTTATCGTTGCTCCATACCTACTACGATTTTCTCCTGTGTCGTGGGTGCGTTCACAAAGATACAAATTCACATACACATGGCACCCAGACCCAAAACAACAATTTGTGGATCACACAAAGTGTTGTTCAGTGCGAGAATCGAACCCGGGGTACGGCAGCCGGATGCCCAACTACACATCAACCGTGCAGTCATTATAATAAAAAATATTGTCTACTAGTCTGTATGTCAGTCAATCAATCATAATCAGAAAAATAGATGTCTGATTCGATATGGCAAATAACTGGCGAAATTAAATAACATTTGACAAAGTATTCACACATAAAAAAGGTATAATGTTAAGTGAATTTTCAAATGTATTTACTTGAATACAAGAATACCATTTATTCGAACAACTGGTAGATAGCTTTACATAGGAACCCTGTAATATTAATTAGGTCACCACTGAATAAAGTGAGAACCACGATTCCACTTCTTGGTAACATCTTTCAGGATTTAATAGCTTTACAAGTTTAATTTGTTTCAGATGCTGCAGCTTATTTACAGTTTTACAGAGCTCTTTGTAGCTAAGTTGCGAACTAAGGCTCTATTTGCAACTACTGAAGTTTCAGAACTGAATAGTGCGAGGTTGTCACATGTGCTGTATTTATTGTCTCAGGCTTTCAGGACAAGCTTTGTTGGAGGTATTGTATGATTGTAGTAATGTGTTTAAGGGTGTAAATACTAGTTATGGCATGTCCTGTTTGTTTAGTTGTTACAAAGCTGGCTGATGAGTGTCAAATCATACTTTCCTTACTTATATTATAAATCGGAAAGTGAGTTTGTTTGTTTGTTTGTTTGTTCCGCCTTCACGACGTAACTACTGAACCGATTGTTTTGAAATTTTGCAGAGGTAAAGTTAGAAGTCTGGATTAAATAATAGGGTACTTTTTATCCCAAAAATTTGATATTCCCGAGGGAAAACAAAAGTATTGGTACAGATGGCGCTGTGTGTATTGGTATATGTCACATAGGCTACTTTTTATCCTTTTGTGACGCGAGCGAAGCCGCGGGTAAAAGCTAGTTCGTAATATTTCTATTAACCCAATGACTGATTTGAAGAGGTTTTTTTTACGATGACGGTGGCAAAGAGCACACGTAGCAACGGACGGTAAATGAAAGGACGACAACCTGTAAAGCGAATGATGTGCAAAACATAAAACCTGTATTTGCTTAGACGAAAGTAAAATTGCCTCGTTGGCCGAGTGGTCGCAAATGCAACAGCCGAGCAAGGGGTCTCGAGTTTTCAGGGTCGAGCAAAGTTTTATTGAGTTTTTAATTCGCAGTAGTAGCACGGGGTCTGAAATTGTGCCTGGTGTATGCAAAAAGCTCACCTCCTATTACATAGGACTCATAACATAAATAGTGAAAAGTGGGTGTACATAATGTGCACCTCTGCCTATCCCTTCGATACGTTATGAAACTAAAAACATATTCCAACAAATTCAGAAACTTCTTCTTTTTAGAAGTCGGTTAAAAAGCAAGGTTACCTGTTATTTTAAATAATCCTACACAATACTAGAAATAGTAGAGTACCATCAAGCTACAAATATGACAGGACAAAGTTAAAGGCATTGTCGGTACAAACAGAAGTTGTACAAACAGATGTTTCAATACAAGTCGCGAAGTTATTGAGAGGAGAGTGTTTACATGTGACGTGGCGGCCATATTTAGTATGTTTACGACTCACCGAGTATTCATTACTACTGTGTGACGTGTTATATTGACACTATTAGGCATACGTGTACCTTGTTACGTAGTATTTTATCGGTGTGTGTGTGTGTGTTTTTGATTGTGTGTAGTTTAATTTGGTTTTTGTTGCCTTTAAGAAGAGACGATGGTTATTTATTTGAGGTTTTGTAATAAATTGATTTATGCAGTTTACCTACTACAAAAATGCTCAATTAATTTAAGCGACAAAGGATATTATAATTGGGAGCTTAGTATTTTGTCTGAAATGTGTCTCATTAAGTTATCTAAGTTTTCAGGAACATTATGAAAAGATATTTTCCATCAGAACTTATGTTAAAATAGAAATTGACGTATAGACTGGCCAAAAATTTAGTCCATGAAAAATGGACACGATATCGACGCTTTATCATTCATTACAATTACTTTGTGTACAAATTGATCTTGTTTCTACCAAATAATGTTCAATTAGATACGTAATAACACGTATTTGTATAAATCATACATCTGAGTTATTACATAATCAACCACTCTTTGTCCGATACAAGGAAATAATTTTGACCCATACGATCAGTAATCATAATTACACATGAAATACACAGAATATCTACGTATTAACGCTATCTATACATATGTACACAACAACAATAAAGCAATAAAAGAAATAACCACATTACGGTTTCGTATATACAAAAGGAAAATAATAAAATCGTATATAGGGGCTATATATAATTCAGTAATATATCGTGTTATATATTATTCCATCAAAATGCGCCATAAAAGTAGTCGCGTGGCTACATCAGCATTCTGTGTCGCCGTAAAACCATAAAAAGTGTCAAAACTGTATTCGTCCGCGATACGAATTCATAAGCTGTCAGTATTTATGAGACTAGACTTTACACCCGACCCCCCTCGTGTTCTTGTGACGTTTCATTTAATTTGATTGAAGTTTTATCAGTAAAGTTTCAACATTCAATCTAAAATGTGGAATTTTTGTCGAAGTTCAAACTTTACGACGCTGGCGGAACTCTTTCAGTTGAATTGTTTAACGTTATGTTGGTTTCTTAACTGTTCAATGTTCAACGATGTTAAGTGCTCGCTGCGTTATGGAGAACTTGAATTTGTCATACATATATATATATATATATTATATATATATATATATATATATATATATATATATATATATATATATTAAATCATCATCATCATAACATCACGCCTTTTATCCCCGAAGTGGTAGGCAGGGGTGCACATTATGCCACTGTTCAATGTAACACCCACTTTTCACTATTTATGTTATGAGTAATAGGGGGTGAGCCTATTGCCAAATACCGGGCACAATTCCAGACTCCGTGCTACTTCTGAGATTTTTTTTAAAACCCAGTAATTCTTTCCCCGACCCGGGAATCGAACTCGTGACCCCTTACCCGGCAGTCGCACTTGCAACCACTCAGCCAACGAGGCAGTCAAATATATATATTAAATATTTTACATAATACATTGTCACGTTAGGTGCTATTTTTACATAGCCATATCCGTCAAACATATAAATCTACGGATTGATGTCAACGCCATACATAATAGTATTAAGAACAATATTGATTTACACAAAAACATTAATCATGAGACAATAACTGGACCAAAAATCAAATAGTTGTTGACAACAGCATACAGCAAGCTGCTATATAAACAGCTTAATATTTTCTTCTTATCTCATTCAAGCCAATAAATCTAAGAGAAGCTTAGCCCCAGAACACATCATATATTAATATTACCCATCATTCAGTTGCACAAACAAACCCCCCTATTATTAATGACACCTTCCCCTAACGATAAATTTCACTATCCATCGCTGGCTGTGTGAGCAAATTGATTCACTGCGTAGTTTTGGAGCGGCAATGTAATTCGTTAGCGAGTGTAGTATCGATAGATCTGGCCGTATATGTGGATGTTTATCAGTCTTTATGGTAATAACTGTTGGGGTGGGGAGGGCAGAATTGGGGGGATATTGGGAAGGGAAGAGGCAGAAGTTTAATAAAGAATAAGTGTTTAATATAAATTTATATCATCACGCCTTTTATCCCCGAAGGGGTTGGCAGAGGTGCACATTACGGTACTTAATGCCACTGTACAATATAACACCTACTTTCAACTATTTATGTTATACATGTAATTAGGGGGTGAGCCTATTGCCATATACCGGGCACAATACTACACTCCGTGCTACTACTGAGATTCTTTTTAAAGGCCCAGTAATACTTTGCTCTACCCGGGAATTGAACCCGAGTCGACCCAGCAGTCGCACTTGCGACCACTGTGACCAACGAAATGGTCTGATAAATCAGATCCTTTTTAACTGCGGTCATTTTTATATTTGATGGGCCGGCGGCATTTGTCCACTATCTGGTGGAAAGCAATGATGCGGTCTACGATGGAGCACGTCGTCCCATAAGCAACCTATTCACTCGGGTCTCCAACCGACTTGCCAAGCATGGGGATTATGTGAAACTCCTCTTTTGTGGAGGATACTCTACTGTCTAGCAGTGACCTCAGACGGGCTGTTGATGGCGAAAAAACCTTGAAATAAAAAAATCAATACACAGAGTACACCATTAAAAATATTAAACCATTAATGTTTGTAAGAGTCGTTGCATTACTGGAATTAATACAACAGTTAGGTGCGCAGCCATTAATTATTTTATATTGTCAAGTGTCCGGGACTCCCTCGGGCTGAGGAGGCAATACAAGTAATGAGGACCAGTACTTTCTATCTTTTAACTTGGCTTAGATTTTATATTGTAGGCTAAATAATAATTTTGCGAGATTTATTAAAGTAGGATGATTGCCTCGATGGACGTGTATTCGTCAGTGCGACTGTCGAGCAAGGGGTTTCGGGATAGATTCCTGGGTCGGGCAAAGTATTGTAAAAAAATTCTCAGGAGGAGCATAGAGTTTGGATGCCTGGTGTATGGCAATAAGCTTACGCTTTATTACATATGATTCATAACATAAATAGTGAAAAGTAAGTGTTACATTATAAAGTGGCATTAAGTGCTGTAATGTGCACTTCTCGAGAAGCAATTCTTCGAATTTACATTGAATAGTTACTTGTAGCTTTAAAATGCATTGAAAACGCAAATTATCAATATCAAAATTAAGCATGGGTGCGTTTAAGTATGGGAGAGCCATGCTACAGTACGTATGCGCCGGCTCGACCGGAGTGGTACCACGGTCTCACCGAAAACCGCCGTGAAACAATGTTGTATTTCATCGTGTGAGTGAGGTTACCGAATGCCCAATTGTTAAATATGTCACGCAGCATCATTATTCAAATAAATATAAACCTATAATTTTTAATGACCGGAATTAATAAGAGTGGTACTTCTGCCGCTCCCCTGTACAGCCTGTCAGAATAGAGTCAGCGCTGTCCATATAGCATTAGGTAAATTGCTCCGAGAATAGGAACTATTTCTTTGTGTTTCTTCGTCTTTACGAATAAATCGAGTGTTTTCTCTTCCATTGCGATATCTAGGAAACATTGTTCCACATTAGACAGTACGTTTGATGTAATGGTGTACTTATTGTTACGAAATGTGATGAGGTTAAATCAATATAATTATATGTAATATTCCCTAGATACAGCTATAAGCATCACGCTTTTCATCCCCGGAGGGATAGGCAGAGGTGCACATTACGACACTTAATATCACTGTAGAGGTACAATGTAACACCCACTTTTCACTATTTATGTTACGAGTCCTATGTAATAGGGGGTGAGCTTATTGTCATATACCGGGCACAATTCCAGTTTCCGTGCTACTGCTAAGAATTTTTAAGAAAACCTGTAAAACTATGTCCGACTCGGGAATCAAACCTTGTCTAGCAGTCGCATTTGCGACCACTCGGTCAACGAGATTTTCAACAGTCGTATAATGTATAGTATAGTATAGTATAGTATAGTATAGTAGAGGTATAGTATAGTGGTATGAATTAATAAATCGACAGCATGCGAGAGTCTTTGGCACAATGCTTGACGGATTTGATACCTGCAGTGAACATATCTTTGTGTGATGCATAAATTGTTGTTCCGAGTCTGGGAACCCATAATAGCCGAAAGATCTACGGTTGGGGTAATTTTTTAATAACAAACGATTTCAAATTTTTCATCACTTTTAAAAACATGAGAAAAATCAACGTGATCTCAATTTGTTTTTATTTACTACATTTTTTCCTGTTCTTTATATTGATTTAAGATGGTAGGAAGCTAGAACTGTGAGGTCAATAATTAATATATTAACTTAATTAAATTGATAATTACATCGCTCTCATTATCAAATTAATTAATCTGTTGAATTTAATTAGAACATTTGCCAACGCGGAGTATATATAGACATTCCAAAAATAGTATTGCTGATATATAACATTCTGTAGGTATTCTGATAAACGTACTGACCTAGACTTCAATATACCATTGTAAGTGTATATTATGAGACCAGTACTAAATATAATAATATAAAATTAGTAATTTCTCCAAATCTCACTAACGTGACACACAATGCTTCATTTATTTGACACCAGTTTTCTGTAAGGCCACCCTATCACTCCGGTTGAGCTGCCCAGCAGTACCAAACCATGGCTCTTCCACAAGTAGCTAATCATCATAATATCATCCACATGCATAAGATCCACTACACATTTTGGAAAGATCACTCATCTCTCAATTTTGGAAAGTCAACGTCAAAGGATTTATTTCAATTAATCCTTAATTAGTCACTTTTGAAACGTCAAAAATTGAATTGTCCGTCCATTTGTCTGTTTGTCAGTGAAGTTAGGCGTTGGTTGCAGGGTATAGTTTCGAATGGAGAGCAAGAGCAAGCAAGAAACTCCTTCGTTACTCTTTTAAAAAATGTAATTATATCATGTTTATGTTCCCTCCTGAAAATAAACACAACTGTAGCCAACTAGAAGTTTGCTGGTGCCCCAGAGCCACAAACAAATCTCATTCCTTGGAACATGTAAACTCATTACCCAGAAGAATACAAAAGCAAACACTTGTTCAATTCCTATTCAGGCTGTCAATACATCAGCTTATGGTGAGGAGGGTCGGAGTGACCTGCACTCACGTACATATATATTGGACAGTTTGTCTGTCCGTGGTCGATATTAGAACCGCTGTCAAGCCACTGCTGAATGAGACCTTAACATCGGCCATCCCAAACAGTATTGTTCCTTTATTCGGATTTTGTTGGGCGAGGCCCTGAATGTGAGCAGTGGTGACTGGCTTTTATGGTTACGTGGGTGCAGTTTGATGTTACGATATTTGTGTTTATTGGAATTGAAGTAGTGACAATTCTTTGCTCGTTCTAAAATAGTTTGGAACACACACACATAAATGACAAATTTTCCTAGTCTTATGTTAAGGCTTTCTGTAGTTTTTACTTACCCCGGTATAAGATACGGTGTGATTTTCTACGTATGATCACTGATTACCTTACCTGAATTTGATACAACGCTATAAACAATACTCGCAGTTCAACACGTCAATTCTATAAATACCCAAGACATTGCTCCACAATAAAAAAGTTACTTACTAATATTAATTTCACCATTTACACGAACACGGCGCTTCTAAAATATGATCCGAACAAACACAATGGGAACCACTCTAATCCCGTCTAAAAATAAAAACGACCCAAAAAGCAATACACAGGCCATCTCAACAGGAAAAAAACATTCTAAAAACTCTCTCTCTATATATATATAATAGTATATAGTAACGTCGAAAAATAATTTACGAAATCCATTTCCACTATGATAGTCTGAAAAGAGTCATGTCTGAGGATACGGGACCCTTCGTCAGCGAACGAGATCAAATTAATATAATCTTCTTCTTTCTCATAAAAGGGAATTTACAACCTTATTCCATGTCCCTAACTGTTCAATATCCGACCTTATATTGAAGAACATAAGGGTGTTAATGACCGCATATGTTTTGGAGAGCCGGTATTGTAAGGAGAATAAATCTTAGCTCGATTTGAATAACAAAAGTGAATGAAATGCTCTTTGAATGTGAACGGGCAGTGATGGTAACAGTACTGAGCTATTGTTCGCGGCTTCAACAAACTTTTTATGTAATAAAAAGTTTGCTTTCGAAGCCATTTTTGTCGGTACTTGAGTCTGAAGGGCGGAATGTTTCTTACAATTTGTGTAACTATGTTATAGTTGTGGATATGCTCATAGATTTTCGACATATGTAAGGAGTTGTGGTGTTTGTAAACCAATTTGATGAAATAATTTAACTTTTCATTACAAAAAAATCACATTTATTCACGTCTGAAATAGTTATGGAAACCAACATTTTGTCAAAGTCTGGGATCAAACTTGAGACAATATCCATGATTGCGTTCAATCATCAAACATGACAAAAAGGCATA